TGTATATGTCTGGTGCTAGGGTTTTACTGTCTGTATATGTCCGGTTCTAAATTTTTACTGTCTATATATGTCTGGTGCTAGGGTTTTACTGTCTATATATGTCCGGTGCTAGGGTTTTACTGTCTGTATATGTCTGGTGCTAGGGTTTTACTGTCTGTATATGTCCGGTNTTTTACTGTCTATATATGGCCGGTGCTAGGGTTTTACTGTCTATATATGTCCGGTGCTAGGGTTTTACTTTCTATATATGTCCGATGCTAAGGTTTTACTGTCTAGATATGTCCGGTGCTAAGGTTTTACTGTCTGTACATGTATAATGCTTGGTGCTAATGTTGTACTGTATTGTCTTAATATGAAAAGGCTCCAGTGTTCTATTCTGTATTCATGCCTGGTGCTTGTGTTGTAGTTCTATACAAGCCCGGTGTTAGTATTTTACTGTCTATCTTTTGCCAGTGCTAGTGTTGTACTGTTTATATATGCCGTACTTTGTCATTCAATAGGGGGTCGTACCTAAAATACACGTTGGAATGTCCATCAAGACTCATATAAAATGAACATAATTAAACAAATTAATGGCTTACCGGCGTTAAAATGCAGTAGGAAATAGGCCTAAGGATTATGGCTTATCTGCATGAGGCATTCGTTACTCCTCTTATTTTCTTTGAATATTGTATTCCGAATGATTTTATATTGGCGCATGCGTAAAGATGTCCAGTGCTTAGACCGGTGCGAGTATCCAAAACCATAGGCGCCTGAAGTTCTGTCAATAATGAATATTAATAGTAATACAAAAAAATACCCCTAATATGCTTAAAAAATAGTTGATTGATGATCCCGGTGATATGACTCTAGATTTATTTTCTATGTGGAGAGTTGATGCTCTCAAATTTTTTCTGGAAAAAAGAGCATCAAGTAAGGAAGGTACCAAACATGAACTAGCTGTTCTTTGCTGCAAATAAAATGAAAATTCCAATTAAGTTGACATGCAAGGAGATTGTTGCAGTAAACACACGTAAGTACAAAGACTTATTATTGATTGGTACGGAAATAATTCCAGATCCTTTTAAGTTGTGTGAAGGATGGTTCGGAGAGAAACAGGGTTTATGCCAATGGCCGCCCATATATCTGAGTGACATAACTAAGTTTTTTGTGGTGACAGCAAAAGATCCAAATGCTGAGGAGTAGTTAAACTCATACAAAACTGGAAAAGCCTATGAATATTTCACAAGTAATTGGATGAAAGAGGTACATTTTCATTTAATATCGACAGCAAGCAAGTACTGCCTGTTTAGGTCTCAATGTTGCCCATCACAAAGAGTATCTGACACAGACCATGGAGTATGGGCGTGTGTGGAAAAGCTATCAGGATGTGTGCCTATAGCTACTGCTCTTGCACAGCTGGGTAATTATTGAACTATTTGATATAATTAATCATACTAATGCTGTTAAGCCTAGATATTGACTTGATGTTTTTACAGAACTTAAATTATAACTCCTCCACACAATGAATGCACTTAATTTAATTAAATATTTCAAACCCATTGAAGCACATATGTATATTGATTTCTGTCTCTGTAACTGGTCATTCTGGGTCACATACACTGGTCACATACCAGTAAATAATATCAAGGACAACATACAAATTTTATGATTTTGTAATTTCAGACTTGGACAGACATGCAACCATGTCGCTGNNAAAAAAAAAAAAATCACCATGGCCCTAAATGACCACAGCTGTCGATGGGCCGTTAAACATAAACAAACAAACAAACAAACAAACGTCACTGCCCTGTTCCTGGACTATACCTGGGGAGAAGGTCAATATGGTCCCCAGCAAATCTGTGACATGCTTCCAAAGAAGTCCAAGCATGGAAAATCAGGTAACAGAATTAACAGACATGAAACTGGTCCACATCTAATTTCCTTGTGTTGAAAACCCTCCTCAATGTATCACAAGCCTTAAGTTGTGCAGCTCAGAATGTCAACAAATTTCATAGTAACCATAAACAGCCAAAACAGCAATAAAAAAGAACAATTTTTACTAATTTTTCACATTCATTTTCAATATGACACTATGAGATAAAGATATATAGGTGTATCACTTGTATTATAAGAATATCTTGCATAATTTTTATCATTTATTGGATGAATAATTAAACTTTTTTTTTTAGTTTTATCAATCTGATTTAAAATGGTAAATTGAAATTAAAATATAACTGAAATGAGCATTTCCCCAAATAAACCTGCTTGAGAGCCTTGGAGCAGCACTTATTGACATTTTCCAAAAGCATGTCTTTTAAAAGGTATATAAGTTTTGAATTTTTCATTTTTAGGAAAATTGTTCCAAGCTTGTCTTAGCATTACTCAAACTCTATATTAATTCCTCAATTATCACAGTGAAAAAAATCTTTAGCTATACTACTCTCAAACATTGACAAGTATTTAACAAAGTATGGAACTCTCCTTCATGATTTTAACTGATGCAGTGGTACTCTTTACCTTTAATTCAATTTACTTTTTTCCCTGCAGGTCACATTCTGTCCTCCCATGATGCTGACCTCAGTGCTGGTAAACAAGCAAACAACCACACAGATGACATCCAAGGTATTTTAACTATAGAGAGATTATGCTTTTCTTTTGACATGACAGTCAAATCACAATCACATGTATCACTATATAGCTAGTGGTAATGAAATTGACCCATCAGGTTAATAATATTAGTGTGTTCTAGTGTCCTGACCAAGGTTCCCAACTGTTTTACAAAAGTCGCCTGTCAATATATCACCTCCGACAGTTATAATGACAAATCACATTGTACTAGCCTATCAGGTCACAGATACAGCATGTACGTGAACAAATGATATAATTATGTGACTATCAGAAGTTAGCCCCCCCCCCCTTTTTTTACAAACATTTTGATTCAAATATGATCACTGAATGATTGAGACATGTTTTCACTCAATTTGACAGATGATGGGCTTACTAAGTACCTTCACCATAGCAGAACGCTACTCAATATGTGAGC